AATAAACAGGTGACACAGGTCATCTACTATGTATCAGTCACACTTGCTTGTGATATCATAGCGAAGGCCAGGGTTTGTCCCACAAATTTTTCTCTGGTTTCAGTAAACAATGTGGAACGTTGCCACTTTCTGCATCCTCCTTGCAACGAGGTTGTTAGGTGGAACATCTACTGAACTCGGCCCACCGTTTCGACTGAATCGTCGCCTGCAGGGCTCTGAACATATTCCAAGATGTAAGTTTCTGAACACCCCACCAAGTGCCTCGTCAACTCTAGTGGTTCCCACATAATGTCAGGAATATCTTGAGACCAATGCCGTCAGAGACGAACACAGACAACTCTACCGCTCATCGCGGAAACAGTACGCTGCCACACGAGAGCGTTTAACGGTAGTAAGTAAGGAGTACCATTTCCCTCAAACCAGCTGTAGAACGGAATATGTGTAAAGAGTACTTGTGGGAGCAGAATGTATAGAGTGCTAGCGAGTCAAGGATAGCCTCTTGGCAGATTGGTTATCCGGAGCAACTGCTAGATTCATCGAAATCGAGTATTGGACGGGTGGGATCCTGTCCCCCGTGGGATCTCACCGTGAGAAAGGATAAGACCTAATAAATTCACTCTGATCCTTCAGTACCGTTCTACTCATGGCCAGCTGGATTTTGAAATTATTGAATTTTGACGGATGCTATTGGGTCAAACAAATCTCTAGTGAGATGAGTTGAGAAAGCTGAAACTTCAGCAAAACAAGGGCCTAAACAAGTTTCACGGCCCCCCTCGAAATGAGGAACTCATAGAACAAAAGGTTAGTCCCTTATAGGTTCCACATTCATATGAAAAGCAGGTCTTGGTGTCACACTATTGTCGTCGGTAACCGGCAAAACCCAGTGTGGCTCGATGAGTTGACCGGAGACTTGCTAAGCTCCCCATTCAGGGCACGTTGAGGACCCTCTGTGCGGGGGTTGTGTTCGGTAGCTGGTGGAAGGAAATTGTAATTTTGAAAGAAGTATTTTCGGTTTCTGATTTCCCTCGGTTTTCCCATCTCGCGTGCGCCATATATCCCCACGCACCACTTATCCCCCAGCACTCCACGGCAGTTCGTGAAAAAAAGGGCCTCCAGTTCCGGAAAAGTGGGTGGGAAGTTGGGAGAGTTTGGGTAGATGGGGAAGATGGTCAGGTGGAAACAGGAAGGAGGGGGAGAGGTCCTACGAGAGGAAGAATTTCTGAGGGATATCGTATTTTGTAAAATTCTTCGCCAACGGTAGGACGTGCCCTGTCCACATTTTCTTCTTTTTTTTGGTAAGTCAACGATTTCTGTTTGTGAACTGCGCTGTCAAGAAGTCACAACAGCAAGGTGTGACCAAGAAAAGGAACTAGGAAGTGAAGCTTCTGTTCATAAATCAATTACTATTGATTTTGATAACATCCTCTATTTGAAGTGAGGTAAGTTAAGTTACTCAAATATTGTTTCATGACGAGCTAATAAATAACAGCCGAGGGAGAAACGGTTGGCCCTGGTAGCGGAACATCTACTTGAAGTCTCCTTTCTGTTCAATGGTGGAACAATTCAGATCGCTGGGAAGAGCACTACGCACCGATATTTCACTCACTGGACTACTTTTGGAATAAAC